GGTGGTGGTTGCTACACAGCAAGGGTATCAAACGAGGGTGTGAAGACATTCGATTATAAAATTTTACTATGATGCAGTTCATCCAAATTTTACTATGTTTTACAACCTCCTATAGATCGGCGGGAAATGTCCTGTGACTGTTATAATAATAAATATTTACACAAAAAAACCCTGGATCCGTAACTGGGTAAATCAATTCATGTTATATAAATAATGTCCGATTTTTCTCTCGATTAGAGAGAAAAATATGAAAAAGAAAATTAAAAAATTAATATTATAAATACAAAATTTCCGTTTCGCTCATTTTAATCAATAAATCATGGTATAAGATATCCTAAGACCCAAAAACAAGAGCAAACTGGATCATTAAGGACCATGGGAAAGCACATTCGTTTTTTATGCAATTCGCTACAGTCATAACTTTATGTCATTAGAACTAGTTGATAAAAAAACGTGTGGATTTGTCTAGATATCTCGTGCAGCGATTATTATTACAATTCGGAAAAATTGACGATAGTTTAATTAAACTAAAAATACAAAATGACATCAACTTCAACAACAACAATGATAATAATGACATGGATCAAGGAATATCTAAAGCTTCTCAAAAATATTATAGAAATTCTGGGCCTCGAATATTCCAGTAGCGGTATTTGTAGCTTTGTTAAAAGAAGCCAAATTACAATATGGTGAAAGCCTTCCCTTGAAAGGTAATGATATTGAAATGTTTCATTTTTTAACGGGGGGTCCTCTGGCTATAGACACGGCTCCAAAAAGGTTGATGCAAAACCTGGAAAAAATAAAGGATCTTATATTAAATAAAAATTTTATACCTTTCCCCCCCAAGACCAATTATCCCATTTGAAGACTCAATTGATTACCAAATAGAAATGCAAATACTTAATCGTAAAGAGTATCCAGCTAAAGACGGATTTGAAAACAACAAGCAACTGAACATAATTGCAAAAGCAATATTAATTTATCCTGACCTAGTAGAATTCTGGAAACAAATTGATTACCATGATATATGTAAAGATGTCAATAATTTGGTATTACAGGGTTCTTTGTTAATTTTATTCTACCCAAATTATAAAAATGAAGAAAGAAGCTCGTGATTATACAACTACAATGGACTTTGTCAAATGTATACAACAATTAAGGAATCAAACAATATAACAATTTTAAAACCATTTTTCGAAGGTTTTACCCCAAATTTTTAATCTCAAACCAACTTTTAAATATAATAGTACCATCAGCACCAGAAAACATAAATTGAAAAAACAACTGCTATTACAAAACCAGCCTCTTTTTCAACTACTTGATGTTCATGAGAAGAAAATTGAAGTTAAGAAGAGAACTACATTATAGTTTTCTGAATTGAAAAAAGTTTATCAAGAAGTAACAATGCAATTCAATCCAAACATATATAATAATCAGTTCACTTTGAATTTTGTATTTTGTATGAGAAATTTTTGGAATAGACTTATAGCAGAATCAAAAAAACGAAAAATTGGGACATTGGCACAACTTGGAACAGATGAGAAGAAAATTGAAGTTAAGAAGAGAACTACATTATAGTTTTCTGAATTGAAAAAAGTTTATCAAGAAGTAACAATGCAATTCAATCCAAACATATATAATAATCAGTTCACTTTGAATTTTGTATTTTGTATGAGAAATTTTTGGAATAGACTTATAGCAGAATCAAAAAAACGAAAAATTGGGACATTGGCACAACTTGGAACAGAAAATGGATTGGGGACCAATAGAAGAAAATGGATCAAAGAACATTAAAAGAAAATGGGACAAAGATAAGAAACTTTGACAGGAAATTATTAGTATTTTTACTTCTACTATTATTACTATCTTTAATGCTTAATGGTTGATGTGATTATACCACATATGAATATTCATATTTTTATATAATTTAGATATTTCTTGATCTTGTTGTTATTGTTGACGTTGATGTCATTTTGTATTTTAGTTTAATTAGACTATCATCTGTTTTTCCGAATTGTAATAATCTTTGGACAAGATATCTAGATAAAATCACATGTTATAAAAGTTATGGCTTGCAAAAAAAATTTACCCGCTAGGGCGTAGTCAATAAAAATAAAATTTTTATTTTTATTTAAGACGACATAAAACAAATAAATTAATATATTACTTATTTAAGTACCTTTAATACTAATTTCGGTGATTTTGTGGAGGAAGGTACATCCATATTAAATTTAACAAATCCTTTTGTTGTTCAACGTCTTAGCTATTCACTTGTATCGATTCCCAATTTCCCAATCTCGCTCGGCTTTTGTTCTATTAGATATTAATATTAATATATAAATCAACACTGACAATATTAGGTAATAATCTTTTCCTAACAATGATTTCAATGCTCTTATTGTATTCAGACCTTACTTAAATTAATATAATATCTTCAGATTGGTGATATTTCATTATGTTAAAAAAGCATGTATTAAATGTTACGATTGTTTCATTGTAGTGATTTGTTCCATAAGCGAGATTGTGCATCTATTGGTTGCACGTGGCACTAATAAAAATAAAAATAATTCTTTAATTATAATGCAAGTGTTTATAAAGTTTTTAGGAGCCGGTTCAAGTTCAGGACTAGTCACAAGTTTATGTCTGAATTGGTAATTTAGTTCATAGTATTTATTTTTCAGGAATCAGACTCGAGACCAAATAATTTTATTTTTGAAAAAATCAAATTACATTCCTACATTCTTATTATAATTCTCCGCATCTATTAAAAAAAAATAGTCTGGATTGGTAATTTAATTCCTAGTATTTATTTTTCGGGAATTAGAAGACCAAATAATTTTATTTTTGAAAAAATCAAATACAGTGATTACATTCCTACATTCTTATTATAATTCTCTGCATCTGTTAAAAAAGATAAAATTTTTATTTAATTATGTTTTAAATTATTTAATTAAAATTAAAATTGAAATTTGTTGTTCAATGACACAAGGCAAAAGGAAAAATATATTATTAGTCGTGTGACATTTCCCTAATACTAAGGCTGCTTTTCTATATGTGAAAATAAATTCGAAATTCGTGTCACATGAAGTTTTTTTAAAATATCTCGTTATTTTT